ATAATTTATGTAATAATTACATGTTTTAATATTCTACAATATTTAAATATTTATCATTAATTAATAATGTTTTTTTTTACAATTCTTCTACTTTTACAGGGACAAGATGAAATTGAGGCTGTGCATGAAAGTTTACAACATACCTGTAGGGTTCTTGGAAGCAAAATACGTGAACTTATAATATGTTCTATATATGCGAACCTTCCTCCTGATATGCAAGCTAAATTTTTCGAGCCAACACCTCATGTAGCTCGAAAGGTATATTGATAACTTTTATATATTTTAAGCAATAATATATATATAGTTTAAGAAATTATATTTTAAGAAATAATATATATATAGTTTAAGAAATTATATTTTAAGAAATGTCAATTAAATCATTTATTAATTCATTAATTAATTTATCTTAATTTTCAATGTAGGTCATTTTAGCTACCAATATACTATTGATGGTGTCACATTTGTTATTGATCCAGGTTTTGTTAAACAAAATGTATACAGTCCAAAAACAAGAATGGAATCATTGTTAGTTTTTCCAGTAGGTATTAATCAAATTCTTATGTGTTCATATCATAAACATTTGTATAAAAATTATTTTAAATTATTTTATAGTGTTCAAGAGCTTCAGCAGTTCAGAGCTGGACGTGTTGAACCAGGCCATTGTTTCAGATTATATACTCAACATGCGTTACATGCGTTTCACAACGAGTTGAAAGAAAATACTGTTCCTGAAATTCAAATAACTAATTTAGCTAATGTGGTTTTATCATTAAAGGTTTTTTCATTAAATCATATTCTTGCATTGTTTATGTGTATTGAATAATATCATTTAATATCATGATTTAATTATAAATTAAAATTATTTTAATAGCATAATCTATGTTATCTTAGTCAATTGTGTCAGCAAGGATTTCACGTTTTGGTGAGTCATACTAAAAAGCAAAATATGGTGAACCGGGTCGAACGATACATATTCATCCCAGCAGTTCTTTATATCAAGTAAATCCAAAATGGATAAATAAGGAGTATATTCGTCAAGTAATGGAAATTAACCCTGAATGGTTAACGGAAGGTCTGTTTTTGTTTTATTAATCTTAAAAAAAAACCAACTCCATTTAATAACAGCTGTTCCATATTATTATTCAAAATCAGAATTGGATAATTTTGATGGTAAAAAGAAAATGCCAAAAAATCATCAAGCCACATAATTTTAATAATTAGCAAACCAGAATATTATGTAACAATTTTAAATAATTATAATTAAAAATTTT